TCTCTCTCTCTCTCTCTCTCTCTCTCTCTCTTTCTCTCTCTTTCTCTCTTTTTCTCTCTCTGTCTCTCACACACGCCACACAAACACACACATTGTGCATGCACACACAAATTTTCAAAATATAATATAATAATTACCCAATATCACGAACAGCATGCCCTGCTCGATTGTAACTACGTACCGGGTTACAGTCATCTTTGGTTTTTTTTTCCCTTTGTCTTTGTAATTGTACTACCTGATTTGGGGCCAAAATACCTGAAGTTGACTCTTTTGTTTGTTTTAGTAAGGGTTTAAATTTACGGCGCTCGCAACTGCATAGGTCATATGAGGGTACGAAACACATGTTGGTTGCTTTCACAACAGTTTACTGCACAGCTTGGATCGGGTCAACTATCAGATTTTAAAATGTTGAAACTTGAGGTAAAATAACAATCTAAAAATGATAACCTGCTTAAAATCAAGATAACTGTATTTACAATTCTTCTTAAAGGCCTATGGCTTGGCCTTTACAAAATCTAGGATTCTGTTTGGATCATAGACGAAAAATAGATCTTTCTACTTTTTGCATTAAAAAATTAAAATGACTTGGTTTCTTCTGGAGAGGCCCGAAGGTTTTTGTGGACCCAGTTTGGGCTTAACGTTGTGTTGTTTATTGTTGGTTTGATTTTTCAAATGAGTCTCCCATAGACTGGAGGTGTAGTTTTGTACTTTTAAAAAAAAGTCAGTTTGTGTGAGTGTTCGTCGTTGATCCCAATAGAAAGGACAAGGATTCCTTCGTCAGGGCCAGGAGATCCACCTGCTCGTTTCCTCGGATGCCCACACACCACATGGCTAGGTAGCCTTGCGAACAATATAATACATACTTTTCCGGTTTCAGTCAGAGTGTGTATTTTTTGTTGTAACATAGCTATTTTTGGGTGTAAGAGTGTGTAGTTTGTAAGTGAGGGGATGCAAAATAGGGAATCAGATAGGATTAGGAAAGATTTGATTGGAGAATTTTCTACGGAGTCCAGTGCCATGACAATGGCAATGGCCTCCGCAGAAGAAATGAAGGCTTCGGGATGTATATATTTGTAGCAAAAAGTCAAGTGTGTGCTGTTTGAAGATAGGGCAGTGGCGTGCACAGCAGAGTCCAATTTAGAGCCATCTGTGTGGATTAGCTCCGCACTGGGGTATTTTTCTATAAGTTTTTTGTATTCTTCTTTGGATGTTTTGGTGTTTGTGGTTGCTTTGTTGTGTGTGGTCAGCTGTAAGTCTGCTTTTGCCTTGGTGATGTTCCACGGAGGGAGGTCAGGGAAAAGAGATTGTTGGATGTCTATTTAAAAAAGAGTATATATGTTTTTGAGGTCCTCAAGGACTCTGAGGCCAAAGTGTTTGATGAGTTTTTCATTGTTTTTGAATTTGTTTATAATGGTGTCTGGGTTTTTTTCCCTGAAAATACAGTTGTGTGCTAGGTTCTCTGGTGTTGAGCTCTGTTTAACTGGAGAAGTGCGGAAAACCCCCAGGGCGAGGTGGAGTCCTTGGTTTTGTACTGGGTCTGGCATTTTTAGGACGTGGGGTTTTGCCTATCCATGGGCTTGACAGCTGTAGTCAAGCCTGGATCGGACAAGGGAAATGTATAGGTGGAGAAGGTGTTTTGAGTCCACGCCCCACTCCGGATGCGATAAAAATTTTCAAAGCGTTTAAAGCTTTCTTGCACCTTACACGAAGGTCTTTTATGTGTGGTATGAATGTAAGTTTCTTGTTAAATATCGTGCAAAGGAAACGAGCCTGGTCCTGGACGGGGAAGTAGGCAACCCTGCATATGCTTCACAAAACTGTTCATTAAGTCAAAACAAATGGACTTATTTTGATAGCTTTTCATCTAATGAAAGAACTCTCATATATAGCGTCAAAGTTGTCATTAGGAATGTGCCTAATCCTCAGCCAGTGGAGATAAGGAGTTAAAGATTATTTTATGTATGTAATGCTCAATGTTAAGTACAATTCCTTGCTGTTTGATCCTGTGCTTAGTCACATTCTGCTTTATAGCTGAAAGGGGAAAAACTTATTGGTTTCTCATATCACGTTTGTACTTTTAAATTTTGTGTTATGAAGTAAAATGTTTTCTTTTGTAAGAGCTCTGATTGTCCTTGTAAATTTCCTGACTAAATGCATACTTTTCTTACAGTTTGTTGATTGTTGAGAATGTGGATATTATTTATAAATTATTTTTAAGCCTGACTTCTGCTGAGGCATTGTGGGGCACATACATATATATGAGCATTTGCCAAAAGGTGGGATACCAGGGTGTGACAAATGAGGTCCAAAATCAACTTTATGTAATAATTCTTTAATCACCCATATTATATAGCCTAATGATTGCTCTTTCAGGCTCAGTAACTGCCAAAGCTGTATATATATGCAATGGTCTTGGTGTAATTCTGACTTGAATGATAGAAACAACAAAAAGTTTGTTCATAACAATGATGACACAAATTTATGAATGCTCAAAGTTCCTTTCTTCAGCTAGGCTGATGATGTTATA